CTAAGCTAACCTGCTAACAAACCAAACTTCCTTCAAACTTCCCCTTTTGAGTAAAGTTAGCAGGATCCTTTGATCTGCTTTACTGCCACCTACTGTGTCTGTTGTCCACTTGGAAATATTGTCACCCAGAAATGTCCCAAATACATGCGAAAATAAAGACTACACAGAAATACAGAAATAAAAGGTACCAATGTCAAAATTAGCTGTGGCTAATTTTGTAAAAGACACACAATTTAAAGTATTGATTAAGTAAAAGAAAAAGAAAAAGCTACTGCATTGTTTACCATAGACGGGTTGCTGTAGAGTCTATATATCTGCTTTAGTGGAGTGGGAACCTGCAGAGAGTGCTGATAGAGCTGATAGAGTCCACACAGAGAGAGAGAGATGGGGGGGGGGGGGAGCATGAGAATGACAGGGGCAGATGTCAGCAGCATCAGCTGCTTTAGTAAGCATTTTGTGCACACGTACACAGACACGATGGTTGACAATGGCAGTGCCTCAGCCACACACTCTCTCCGTCCTTTTTTGTCCATTCATTTACTTTCTAAAGCTCAACAAAATAAGGGACCTGACACAGTGATGCACTACTGCTGACTTGACTGCAGCTTTGCTCGACTGGCTTTCGGCAGTAGGTGGCAGCATTCAGTCATTCAGCACCTGTCTGAGTAAATTGAGTTACATTTTAGGGGGATGTTCAAATCAAACCGTCAATCCATCACCCTCGGAGATTAGGTTTTATTATCGGACTGTCTGATGCGACAAACCAAAAAAAGAAAAAAGAAAAAACAATTGTTATTGATGACAGTCCTGTTAAGACTGTAGTTATTGGCAAAGGCTGTGTGAAATCAGAACAGCCCATCATGTCTGTTCTTTGTTTGACAGTCATTTGCTCGTCTAGACACCCGCTCTCCTCTCCTCACTGCGGTGAGTAACACACTTGCAGCCAGGATGACGCTCACTGCATTAAAGTGGATTACCTGAGACCTGCCGTGCTCCCGCTCCAGTGTGGGATTCCACCGCATCACAGGCCTCACACACAAACACAAGCACACACACACACGAAAATTCATGGACATCATCAATGCATTGGCTGCAGTTTGAGAACAGCAGCACAGCATTACACACCAATGAACGACGGTGCTTTTGGCTAATTCTTCTCTAATTTAGAGTAAGCTAGTGGCTAACAGCTGAATATATTCTAAAACATACAGATGTTATTAAGCTAACTGTTAGCTCCGGCTTTTCCTGCACTCTTGATAATGGTATGCTATTTATTGAACAATTTTAGATATACGGTATTGCTGGTACAATTCCTGATTGGTATGTCCTGGTTCATGGGATTAGCACCTGGTTCTCATCATTCATCTGAAGTTGATGGACCTAGGGTCCCTCTGGTTCCGAACACTTCTCACCGTTCTGTTGGCCCATCATTCATGATTTTGATTTGAATAAAAATGTATAATAAATAAAATACTTGAGCTCCAAGAGGATCAAGTTTCCACTTGTTTCTTTACAAAGGGGGCGTGGCTAACAGCTAGCGTTGCTCCATATGATGCCTCAATAACAGATGTGGCTACGAAATGTGAGCGCCTGGGCCTGCGCCCAACACTTTGAGGAATTCATACCGCACCTGCTGTTTCATCTCTCTGATCATCTCTCTTCTGGCACCATTCTCCCTAAAAATGATCTATTTGAAAGTGTTGTGACCTCCGGATGGCTGCAGGCCTTAAATGGTCAGCCAATTACCAACCTGGTGTGAAAAACACTTTAAAGTCACTCATCTTGTAGTTCTGAGAAGGATCTTTGAAATCTAATCTGTACTGAATTTGAACAACACCAGTCTGGCTGGTGGAGTGAATGACGTCTTTCGGGCTGACATTGTGCAGAGAGGAGCCTGCATCTGGGGCAGCAGTCCTCACATCACACAGGGACTGACTGCCCTGTTGCGTGAGAGATGGATAAGGATGAGAGATAGGTTAGAGTCAGAAGGAATAACTGCAGCGGGTGCAGGCTGCCAGAGCTCCAGGTTATATAAGGACACAAGTTTTCCATGGAAAAAGAAGGGCAAGAAATGCTGTTTGGAGTGTGGAAAAGTGTGGAATGCTGTGCTGACGTAACTTTCGAGCAGAGAGCGTGTATAATTAGTGTGTGTGTGAGTGTGTGTGCGAGTGGGAGTTGAAAGCATGTGAGAAAGAAGAAACAGAAGGAGAGGAAGGGAGTGCGGGCATGTTGTTTAAAAAATGTACGTATGTGAGTGAATTTCAGTTCCATGATCCA